CGGCCCGACCTGCAGCTGGCCGCCGTCTACGCCGTGCAGGTGCACGCGCACGCACACCGCTACCCCAAAGGTACCCGCCCACCTTCGTTATGTGCCACTTCACGCGTTATTTCATATCAAATATATCTATACAGCGGACCATTTTCCAAAAATGTTAAAAGCTCTCTCTCGTTTTATTACTGAATCTATTAAGATACATAAAATTGGTTTTTCAGTATGTAACATGAATATCTTATCAGTTACATTAAGATTTAAAAAAAAACGTCATCGTCAGTTTGTGCAGCTTGAAATAATGGGAAACATCCGTAATCGGTATTTAAACCCATTCAAACCCGGGATTCAAACCATGGCAGCCTTGCTTCCTTGATGTTGGCAGTAACTTATGGTCTCTTTACCACATTAGGGTTTTTATCCAAAATATTTACCCACTAAGTTCAATGGCGTGAAAATATATATTTTTTTAATAAATTTATATTTAGGCTATATAGCCTAAAGCGTGACGTAAGTGTAGGGCTTTTAATTAAAAAAAGAATTATTCAGAAATATGACGTAATTGATGACATCTTAGGCAACAAAGAAGTGTGTGTTTACGCTTTATTATATTAGTGTAGATAGTAAGTATAGTATAGATAAAAATTACTCAAAATATTACATCTAAAATTCGTACTTTGAAGAACCGTTAATATTAATGGTCCTAAACTCAAGTTCATTGAGAATTTGGCGGACTAGTTATAATAGATAGTTTTAAATCTTCCTGTAAAATTTGCTAAAATATACATAAGACGTATTTGACCATCGACGCCGATATCAAAGTGAATCTATTTTCTTGGCGTACAACAATAAGAAACGTGCGTTACATTCGAATACAATATAAATAGTTCAGTTAGGACCGTATCTGTCGGTCAGCCGATTCTAATAAAGAACATACTTTGGTCTGTTGTATAGGGAACATGCATGTATTTTTTGTCTTTTTTTTAAAACGATTCTACTTGTTATAAAATAACCAGAAAAAAATTGACGCAAAAATATTCAACCATTGAGCTAAAAATAATAAAATGAGATTACGACCATTTTCAAGCGACTAAAACACGACCGGAGTTTACAATAGACAATTGACGTCAATCGTCTTATTCCATTCATAACATGCGCTCAGATGTCACTTCGACGTAAAAAAACAACAAAGCGTCTCAAGGTCAAATAGTCAAAAATCGATTCACTTTTATTATTCCTGGTACAAATAAGTGGTAATTAATAATTCTATTCATTTTTTTTATTTTAAAGTTGGTTTGATATCGTGTTTACAGTAAAATACTTCAAGAGTATATTTCTATATATACTAACGTAATGAACTGTGTATTGACAACACAGCGACGCCATATTAGATAAGCCACTTGCTTCGACCAATAGTGTGCGTTTTAGAACTTAGCGAGGGAATTTGAAAAAAAAGACACTTTTTATTGATTAAATTTTGCCACTAAATCACATTATGTTATAAAAAAATCTTTGCAGGAATGTTTTTATAGTAATAAAGTATACTTAAAAAAAGTTTGGTGCAATTTGGCGTCATATGCATATTGCCTATTGATGCTAGCCAGGCGGCAGTGTGTAGTGTAATGTTGTGTTGCATAGGAATGCTCCTCCGGTGGTTCATGTACCTGTACAACCTGGAGGTGTGCGAGGAGGACGCGTTCCTGCGGTGGCGCGAGGACGTGACGGACGCGTACCCCGGCAAGGGCGAGGCCCTCTTCCAGGTAGGTGGCGGCGAGCGCGCGCAGGCCGCGCGGCTGTCGTGCGCTGGCGCCGCCGTTGACCGCGCTCTCTGTGCAGGTCAACACGTGGCTGACGTGGCTGCAGCAGCAGGAGTCGGAGGAGGAGGAGGCGGAGGACTAGGCCCGCGTCGGACACACATTCGCACCGCTTTCCTTTTGCGCTCATCTCATATAAATATAATTAAGCCGAATAGTAACAATAGAGACGTTTGCTGCCGTCGGAGGATACGCCCGATGCGTCGCCGGCGACGCGCGTCTTCAGCCGATCTTTGGGTTATACTAATAACAATTGTTAGTATTTCGAGATAGTTTTTTGTAGGCCTTTTACTCGATTTTGATACTTTTTACAAATGTATACAATGTATAGTGTTCGTTTGTACGTATGGCTGCACCCTGCCCCCCCTCACCTCCGCCGCCCGGCCGCCCGCGCCCGGTGACCTCCGAGTGCACACCGTAGTTTAAATTGTATAAATAAATGTGTATGAAAAACTTAAATCAATTTCTATATTATCATGATCATTTTTATTTTCAATACTAAATGGATTTAGTGAATAAATAAACTGTAAGAATGCTTAAATTTCATTGTATTAACAGAGTTTAGAATTTTGTAAACTAGATAATCGAAAAAAAGCCAATTATTTCCTTGGGCATAAGATATGTATGTTGATTGAGTGAATTGTAACAAAGTTGTGAAGTGATGCACGATAAGTAATGTCGGTCAATATGTATTGTATCCTTGATGGAAATAAACTTCAGTGTAATTTATTATGTAACTTGTTTTATTTCTACAAAGGGAGGCTTGCAAATACTGCCCCATGGCTCCATTGCCGCAGTGCCCATCCCCCCATAATCTCCTACTGCACCCCACTGTGCTCCAAGATGATGGGAGCTGCAACAAACAACTAAACTGAAATATAACTTGTTACTTTGTATCGCAGACATTTGAAAAATGAAAATGATTTATTGATGTAACAAAAGATTATACAAGTTAATCAGATGTAGGGACTTCCTTTTAAGTAACCAATAAAGAGGACATTATGTAATCAAATATATTAAAAACCTCTAGTACATCAGTAGTGCTATAAATTAATAGTTTAAAACACATTTCAAGATAATTAGTTTAAATTAAGGAATTTGCCAATAACCTTAAGTTATATTAATGTTAACTTAAAAAAATTACTGGATCTGAAATACATTATTTGGAATAAATGTTCCACTAAAGGTCATTGATAATTGATAATAATTTATATGTTTGTGGTATATGTGAATGTGAATGTAATGGGAATATTATTTTATAACAATATTTAAAAACTGAGGAAGCTTATTAGAATTTGCAAAATAGAGATGCCATAGAGTGACATGTAGCGTGTCAAACTTCACTGCAATAGCAATAGTACCAGTTCTACAGTGGTTAAATTTTTGTGAAAAAGCAACTAATGCAATAGATTTTCCTCTTTTTGTCGCAATGGGTCGAACGATACTGATTATCTATAGGTAAAAAATTTCGGATTAAAATAGGAAATTAGAATATTGCCCGACTTTCGGTTTAGTATTGCTTTTTTCACAATGTATCGCTACCAATGTTATTTACTCACCAATTCTTATCGCAACGCAAAGTACACAAAATGTAATAACGCTATTTATAGTGTTTTCCCTCGCTTGTCGTTTTTCTTCCATGGGATCTACCCTTTCGCCGAATGGAAGACGAAACATGATTATATATTACAACTATTTTTGTTGGATGTCAATTCAAAAATTAAATTAGTAGTTAATTGTCTCAAAAACTCCACTTCACAGATAGAATAAAACTTAATTGAATTGCAGAATTCGGTCAAAACCGTAATTATTATATTTTAATAACCTATAGATTCAAGTCACTTTCAGTGTTGCCAATTAAATTTTTTTACCCGGCCGTACTTGTAAAAAAAAACGTGTTTGCATGGGAAAAGGTCATCGATGAGCCTTAGCAACAGTGAAAAAAAAAACTTTCTAGTTTCTGACTATAATTTGTCTAAATAAGATAGATTAGTTCGTCAATTCAATTCAAATTTAGTAGAGATATTGTGTAAAAATCAGTCATGAATCTTATCGATTTTCGATTTTATTCTTATAGAAGTTGGAATCGAGAGATTTATAGTTATAACTTATGAATTTAAAAAAAAACGCTGTTTTCTCAAATTAATAATAATGACCATAACAAAAAATGATAGTAAATAAATGTGTATTACTGCTACAGCCGTACGTAATCGAACTGGATTTCGCCATTCCTCCTTTAGTTAATAAGATAATAACAATTTTAGTTTAGTTCGATATTTATTTGAGCCTAATATTGATAGTTCAAAAATGTTCGCTTTGCGTGTTTGTTTCGTCACTACGATACCTGTCTATTAAGAATGTCATTTACCTTCATACAAATTGAATTCGACACATCATATGCGTCATTCATCAAACTAATCTATAGTGCCACAAGGATATTGTGACACTTTTTGACATTAACAGGATGGCGCCTCTGAGCATTTAGGGTTACCAGTAAGGTAATATGTCCGCATTAAAAGGAAATTCTTTCCTTAAAAAAAACGAAAACGCAAATTGTAAAGAAAGTACTTGCACCTTACAATATAACTAGGAAATGCCCCAGACTTCGTTTGTCGGTTAGAAGGCTCTATAGTTAAAGAATCTTTGTAGCAAAAATCTTTTAGCAATGCACTCTCTTGAGACAGCGGGGGAAGGAATAGTCTATACTAATATAATAAAGCGTAAACACACACTTTTTTATTGCCTAAAATGTCAGCAAAGACAGCATATTTGCGAATAACTCTTTTAAATAAAAAGCCCTACACTTACGTCACACTTTAGGCTATATATTTCACGCCATTAAACTTAGGGGGTAAATATTTTGGATAAAAACCCTAATGTGGGAAAGAGACCAATAAGTTGCTGCCAACATCAAGGACGCAAGGTGGCCATGGTTTGACATCATGTCATGTCATTTTGACATTTGCAATTGATAACTTGACAAATGTGAACAAATAATATTTTTTTATAATTTTATGCCGATGAAGTTGCATGGGAACAACTAGTCTTAACATAATAATAGAAATAGTCTTACTTAGCATAATAAACAACAATAATCAAGATGTCTATTATTGTGTAGATGAGCTACACAATAATAGACATCTTGATTATTGTTGTTTATTATCAACGCACAGTACAACTATGTGGTTAGTGTTTGATACATTAATGTGTTAGACATTTCCACAAATGACTTCCTTTAAATTATAGACGGACGGCCATATTAACAATACTTGTAAATTACTTTAAAAATCACAAACTGAACTCCAATGCGACAACACAAATATATCGAACGTTCAGTTGTGACACGACTAGTAAAAAACACTGAGCTTGTTGGTGACTGAGCGCCGACGTCGAGACTGCAACTGAGCCCGAGCCACTCCCTGCCATATATTTTATAAAACTACCCCCCTTCTATTACTTCCGTTTTATTATTTGTTTTAAATATTTTCCTAGCAATATTGTTGTTTTAATTAATAATAAATATATTGATAAATAGCACAGATTAACAAATTATTTTTAAGAGTAAAGAATACATCAAATATAGTTAAAAAGCTAACAAATGAATACACGCAGTAATTTCCTTAATACGTAAGTAAATACGATTTTAACGTCAAGAAGGCCATACTTCCAGGTGCACAAAACACGTTACAATATAGGATCGGTCACTGCAATTTCAAATCGGAAATAAAACTACTTTCAGCAAAATATTTGTAGTCTATCAGTATATAACATTTTTTTAAAATTACAAATCTAAAAATATGCGTCGCCTTGAGAGTTAGGGAATTTCTTGATTAACAAATGGTAACAAATTCTCATTGCAACAGACACAAGATTTGACATTTTCAAATGTAACTACTGGACCCCCCTACTTCTCAGCGATAAAAATATCTCCCACTTAAAAAAAAGAACTGTCTTGCACTACTTTTAAACGCTTTCAACACTTTATTTCATAGTATTATATTAAAAAGCCACACAAAATGCGTAAAGTAAAGACGCGAAGTGAAGTGACAAGCTGTGTCACACATATTACCCTGACATTAAATGTCACTTAGTGATGGATTCGAGTGATTTTTTTTTCACTCGAGTCACTCGGTACTGGTAACTTTCTCACTCGAATGCCACTCGAGTGAAGATTTTAAAACCAATAAAACAATGTCAATTTAACATAAAAAAATCATTTTCGCAATAACGTACAAGTTACTCAAAAAATCTATACAAAATGTATAAAAATATTATAGTATTTTCCTTTAAACTAAACCTGATTACATAATCAAGAAACCTCTTATATCAACTATTAGTTAAAATTATAATGTACTACTTATAAGTTCTCAACCATTTTAATTAATTCTAACAAGTAATTTTCATGAGATCCAAATATGAACAGTTTTATTATGTTCTTACACAATTTAGATAATAAACCTGCTTTAAAATTAACTTAAATGAAGCTTAAATAAACATAACAAAAGAACAGAAATAGTGTTTTTTTTAAAAAGATAACAAATTTAACTGAAATTGCTGTAAGAATTTCTTCCTCCGCTTGGTATAAACCAACAAAGTGGTTACGAGTCACTCGTAATTCGAGTCAACTCGAGTCCGAGTAAGATAAAAATGACTCGAGTCACTCGAGTAAAAAGCAACTCGAGTCCCATCACTAATGTCACTTCTCATTGCCGGGCGCCAAAAGAATCATGTACATCTATATCTTATTTAGACAAACTATAAAAGATAAATTTTTCTATAGAAGCCGTAGATACAGCCCAAAATTCACTGTTGATCTTTTTAGACAAGTGACTTTTACACGGCCGGGTAAAAACTTTCATTGGCAACACTGATTCGTGTGTTATTTATACTCTGTGGTGTCTACTATAAAAATAAATACTTCACAACTTAATATTTTGTGTTTTAGTGTTTTAAGTACGGAATCTTCAGATTAACCGACTAAATATTTTTTTCTGTGTATACAATAATCGTTCATGGCATTTATTATAAATGTTTGGTATTTTAAGAAAATGATCTCTCTTTTGTCTGCTGAATCCTAATAAAACTGAAGTTGCGCAACATGGCGTATTCCGCTCAGCTGCTACGATGAAAATTAGAATCTTTTGTGACTATGATACGCTCTAATTAGCATTAAATTATTTTTATCGGTTTACTGTTACTTTAAACTGTTTGGTGTCAAAGCAAAGGTGATGGGCTATATAGTAAATTAGTGCTGCTAAGTCAGAAACTTTAGGAGGGACGTTGTCGTTTAGTACTTTCTATTCGTTCGGGAGTGAAAATAAGTTATCCGTCAAGCTGGAGCGGCTCCCGGAGTACCTGCGCGACACCGTCGACTGGTTCATGGGGTAAGTGATCCACGTTTACTCCCAGCATATTTGAATTTCTTTTACAAAATGTGCACGTTGTTCTAGTTTTAAAGCTCACTCATTCTTTATACTACTTTAACTGTCAGTAGACTGGCTGGAACTACCTGGATATTATTTTAACACTTATTTAAGCTGTACTTATTTGCACAGGACCTTATCAAGGTTGGACAAGGATCATTTAGAAATTCGTAGCTGTCCCCGTCTTTATCGCTTCGATTAAAATACTTACACACTCAACAGAAATCAATGCTCAACATAGTCATAAACTTCTGCAAATATTGCAGTACAGACTATGGTTATGACTAGCCATTAATATTTTGTGTGTTCTAAACAACATTAAAACTTGTACCAACACAATTTACACATTACGTGTGCTTTTAATTAATATTGCATTTGTTAATTGCTCAAAAAGACTAGAAAACTGTGAACCCACAGTAAAATCCACACAGTGCAGTGTGAGTACATTTTTCTGTTGTAGTTCAGGGCTAGTTGCAATAGCTGGAATAAAGTATATTGAGTATTTAATTACCAGTAGTGCATACCAAGTCTCTAAACATCCTAATGGCCATGAAAAATTGTTAAGTCCTAAAGCTTTGGTGGTTTATTTACAAAATTAAGAAAACAGAGGAACTTACATAAATAACTAAATAAGTGAGGATATGGGTCATAAACGGGCAAGCATTAGCTATTGAAGTCCTCTTTGCTCCAAAAAGCTTGTGGTCGTGTTAAGAATCTCCAATATAATAGGGGAAATTGCAAATGATAATTTTAAAACTTACTGCTTATTATATGTTTTGCTGCCATATATTTTTCTTTAGAAGCTGGCATAATGAGCTGTCTGGCTTTGATTGACATTGTCACTTACATTAATGCGAGTGTGTATTCATTGTTGTGAACTTTGTGGTGCAATCGGATTGCCCGCCACAATCAGATGAGCAACGTGTCCACTGCACACGGATGTAGTGGTAGTGCCCGCTTTAACATCTTCACACAAATGGGCCGGCACGCCCAGTGTAATACCACGACCACACAGAAGACAGGCGTGAAACAGAATCAATTCCGTGTTTCGTCTGATGAGTGTGGTGCCGGAGGCCTAATTTAAGTTCCTTTCTCTTTACCGCCCTTTTCTTATAAGGAGAGGATGGGAAGGGGAAGTGGATTTGACGGTGGAGGAGATGCATAGAAGGGGCAATATCCTCTTTATGTGCGTCTCCTCCTTCGTCGGATAAGGGTAGGCAACGCATCTGCGATCGCGGATGTCTATGGGCAGCGGTCGCTTCGTCATTTTGGCGGGCTCAGGTGACCGCTTGCTCGTTTGCCACCTTATGTTATAAAAAAAAAAAACGTCATACCTAGGATGGCAGACTATTTTGGATAGAATTTCATTTAGTGTTAATTTGTGCTTATTTCAATATGACAGTGAAAACTATATCCGAATTGGTAAAGCCGTTCTTGAGATTAGCGCCAACAAACACGTAGACAAAGCAACAGAGTGTTAACACTCATTGGTTATTTTTAATGCGGTAACTCCTGTGCGTTCCTTTGGATTTAATCATGTAAAATCTCTTGTAACCTATCTTGAATAATTTGAAAGTTTAAACCCCCTAAATACAGAAGACGGAAGAGGGGGCATAACAAGTATTGAGGTGCCAACATCCAGTGGAAAAATACAGCAGCCAATGTTTGACAATGGAAACATGTTTTTTGCAAGTAAACGATGATACCAGGTTTTGAAAACTTGTAACAATTAAGAAAAGAATGGTGGGGTCTAAACTATTTTTTTGTATGTGGCAACTTACTCCATTATTTATCTAATAACCTAGCTGTTGCCCAGGACTCTGTCCGTGTGGTGTCCTTTTCTCAACCTATTACCCAAAGTATTATTATACTAGTAATCTACGAGTACATAATAACAGAAGCCGGCTGATGCCAGATTCCAAATTTTTAAGCCCAGTAGTTTGTGAGCTGATTTTTCGGTTTACCTGTTCGTGTTCGCGATATCTTCTAAACTATTAGTCTAATTTAAATACTGTAAAGGACAATTTTATTCTACATTAAATTTTCCTGACAACAAACGCCTTTGATGTTGATGGCTGGCATTCCACAACCGTGCGGTTTTCGCGAAACTTTCTGCCCCGCACAGCCGCGCTGTGGAACGGTCTGTCCTCGGCGGTATTTCCAAACCAATATGACTTAGGGTGCTTCAAGAAGCGAGCCTACAATTTCCTCAAAGGCCGGCAACGCATCTGTAGTTCCTCTAAATAAAAAAGTGGTTATTGTAAGAAAACCGTTAAAGATAAATGTATGCTATCGCGGACTTTTCTGTAGAAACATTTTGAGATCTACAATTCATATGTACATGTCATTTTTATATATCTCTAACTCTCTCTCTTTAGGCAGCGTAAGCCGAGAAAAGTTAAAATTTAATGATTTTTTTAACGGCGCGGTCTAGAAATACGTTTTTTACTAATATTTCGTTAACATTAGTAATAAACAAATAAAGCCTATGTTACTCGCAGATAAATTACCTTTCTGATGGTGAAACAATTTTTACAATCGGCCCAGTAGTTTTTACGTGAATTAAATACATACAAAAATTCAAAAATACAAATCTTTCATCCTTTATATTTTATATTAAAATATTATTATTTTATATCATATATTAGTATTAGTATTCTTAGTATAGATGATAGACCTGGTTCAAACCAAATCCCATACAAAAATAGACAAGTCCTTTTTAACAAAATCTAGTCCCATTCTTCCTAGGCAAGAATTAAGTATTACACTACAGCTTTATTTAAATTTAATTAAACCCCGGAGTGACTAAAATAAAAAACGTGAATTATTTTCCTCAAAATGTTAGCGACTTTTTTTTTATTTGTGATTCCTATTTACTTATGTTATGTGCAATTTGTCAGATTTCTAAAATTATTACGTTTTCTGCATCTAATTAACTCACTCTATATTAAGGTGTGCCCTTGACCAAGGATGCTATAATTAAGATTGAGCTTGTTAAAAATGTCAAACTTTAAACATGACATGGTATTAGGTGCTTTATGTTGTTATTCCCAAATGTTTGTTTCGCTGCATTTGTACTCATTATATTGCACGCCCGAAGGGGTACTTATTGTTTTTTCTTTGAATAGATGTTAGTATAAATGTTTGTATAAATTAATTACAAGAAATAATCTGATATTTTTGACGATCTTTTTTACCATTGTAGTTTTGGCCTCTAATAGGGAATATGCATGTATTTTTTTTTCTTTTTTTAAACGATTCTACTTGTTATAAAATAACCAAAGAAAAAAAAGGACGCGAAAATATTCAATCATTGAGATAAAAAAAATGAAATAAAGTTACGACCATTTTCGAGCGACTAAAACGCGCCCAGAGTAGAAGAAAATTGAAGTCAATAGTCTTATTCCATTCATAACATACGCTTAGATGTCACTTCAATGTAAAAAACAACAAAGTATCTCAAGGTTAAAAAGTCAAAAATCGATTCATTTTTATTCCTGGTACAAATAAGTGGTAATTAATAATTATATTCATAATTTCTTATTTTAAAGTTTTGTTTTGATATCGTGTTTACAGTAAAATACTTCAAGAGTGTATTTCTATATATACTAACGTAATGAACTGTGTATTGACAACACAGCGACGCCATATTAGATAAGCCACTTGCTTCGACCAATAGTGTGCGTTTTAGAACTTAGCGAGGGAATTTGAAAAAAGAGACTTTTAATGATTAAATTTTGCCACTAAATCACATTATATTTAAAAAAATCTTTGCAGGAATGTTTTTATAGTTATAAAGTATACTTAAAAGAAGTTTGGTACAATTTGGCGTCATATGCATATTGCCTATTCGCAGACCTTCATAAACCTTTTATGAAAGTTTCCATGTGTAGTAGCAGTACTTGGTGTGCTGCAAGTACACTTTATATTGTACAAGCTTGTGTAAATCCTCGCTTTGCCTCTCCTACTATTGGGATTTGTTACATTTTAGTGAAATATGAGAGATAAAGTTAAGTGTTATTTGTAAAATTAGGATAGAAGAAGATAATGTGATTCAAGTTATATTGAAAGAATATGTGTTTCTGCAAATAAGTTATAGAAATTCATCGAGGTTTAGCGAAAAGTGCCATTTGTCTATGGTGAAGGGCTTGTTTTGGAATAGTATAGGGTGGAGGCGGCTATGATATGCATGCGTGTTATCTCGCGCGGTGACGTGACCGCGAGCAGCGGCTGCTCTGACGCCGGCCGCCGCGGCGCGCACACGCGGCGGAGCGCGGTAGTACCGCGCCGCGCGCAGCCGCGGCACAGCGCGCCGCTGCATCACCGAGTGCCGCCACCACCATGCTGCGCCGTGGTTCGCGCCGACTGCTGCGACTCAAGTACCACGTGTCACCCGCGGCGCTGCCCTTAGACATCGACGACACCGTTTCCTGCTTCTGCAGGTGGGCTCACTCGCGTCTACATAATTCTTGGGCTCTTGAATAAGAAACCTCCACAACGTTAATAGGCGTACATCTTAATTATATAAACGTTTCATAGAAAATCACCAATAATTGGAAATTTCGCATTTATAATATTTGTAAGATTTACGAGTTAAAATGTTTATTTTTGTGCAATAAATGTGATGCCGCGTGAATCTCGCAAACAACTCTGTAATCAGCGAGCGTGTGCTAGGGTGAGGAGGATGGGGGGGGGAGTCCGCGGTGATGGCGAAATCAACGCCATTTATCGGTGTTATCGCCCCACCTGTGTGACGTCACGGCATCGCAGCTCCACCTGACATTGCGCCGCGTTTCAGTCGGCCGCGTACTCACACATGCACATGCACACGCACAGACACACACAGGCACCGTCGCGCCGCGGCTTTGCACTAATATAATTATGAGCGGCGAGCGCTGCCATGCCACGGGACCAATGTTTACTCAAATCGCAGCTGAATGGCAAGCTGTCGAATGGTTGTGGTATTACTCCGGTCTTTTCGGATATTCGTCTATCAGTTTAAGTACAGCCGAGTTGACCTGACTTTAAAACTAGTCTAGTTTGTGCCTTAATAACATGATTTTACATTTTTTGTTTTGGTTTCAAGTTTGAATCAGTCGGTAACCTGGCCAACAAAGTTAATTATGAATAATCAATTAAACATTTCAATTCATAATTCAAACACAAAAAATCAAGGTTAAATGTCACAAATAAGGTTTTGGCGTTTTGCGCGATTTTTGACATAAAAAAAATTACCTTAGAATTTGTAGATCATTATTTTGACCTATAAAACCTTTATGTACTGCCAAAACCTCTACAAAATTCATGGTTCGCATATCGTAAGTCATTTGAAAAAATACGACTTTTACAAAAGTATCAACCAATGTAGCTTAGAAACAGTGACCCTTAGAAAAAAAGAATTTGTAATGGGCAATTATATAATTTAAGACATTATTTTTGGGATCCAGCCTACATTTTTGCTGAGTTTTGTAAAGTAACGTTTTGTTAGTTTTGACCTTGAATTACTTTAAAATTGTGCCAGTGCGTATGGTGTATGGCAAAATTGTAGTAATTTGTAGAAACATCATCAACGAGGAAATAATGGCGCGATCCTATTATACCCGACTTACTGATATCATTTTATTTTTATTTTCATTTATTGTAATTAATTCTAATTTTTTTACCTTATTCTTAAACATTTATACAAAGTAGGGAATAATAACAACATAATGCACCTAAAACCAAATTCTGTTTGCAAGTACTTCACAAAAAGAAGAAAAAAAACAATAAGCTCAATATAAATGACCACATCTGTAGCCAAAGGTTTTCATCGCCCCCCAATTTTACCCCATAGACATTTTCCGAAAAAACAGTCCTTGTTCTGCGACAGCAACCTAAACTACCTAACATTAAGGAAAGAATAACCAAATAGAATGATCGGTATGTAGTTGTAATGGTACTTGAGAGTAAAGCGAGGCGGTGTGTTGTTGCAGGTGAGTGCGGCCGCGCCCGCATGTCTGTCATGCTGGACTGCCTCTGGTAAGTCCCCCCACGTCCCCCACGTCCCCACCCCATCACAGCGGGGGGCAACATCCCCGCCTACCAACACATGTTGGATGGCGACCTATGGAAACACTAATAACCATTTTCCAATCAAATACATTGGGTTATGAAAAAAACAGTTTAAAATTCAGAATATGTTTTGGCAATGCGTAAGATGTTATTTTAAAGATTGTTAAGATAAACCTATCCTAATAAATGTACACATTTCCTAGGAATTGTACAAAATTCCAATATCGCAATAGGCAAAGTATGAAAGTAACTTTTTCTATGAATGCGACACACTTTTAAATTGAGAATTATAGATAGGCGGGGTCCGTCCACTTGATTATCCCATAACCCCCACCATCAAACACTATCATCGTAGACCCTATATAAAAATTTCAGATCTTGGTATGTTAATCCATACTTCTATCTATATCTATACTATTATTATATAATAAAGCGTAAACACACACTTCTTTGTTGCCTAAGATCTCAGAAATTACAGCATATTTTTGAAGAATTCCTTTGTTAATAAAAAGCCCTACACTTCCGTCACGCTTAAGGCTATATATTTTCACGCTATTAAACTAAGGGGGTGAAAATTTTGGATAAAAACCATAATGTGGGAAAGAGACCGTAAGTTGCTGCCAACATCAAGGAAGCAAGATTGCCATAGTAAGGTAATTGGTATTTTTACCAAATGTAAATTTTGAATTTGACAAATGCAAAGAATAAATTTATAATTTCATGCGGATGAAGCCGCATGCGAACAGCTAGTGTAGGATAAAGTTAAACTTTGATGAAGGCCTTTCATCGTACAATCTCTTCCGTTGCGACCAATTCTTACCTTGTTATATCAATATCAATATCAAACAAGTCGTTGTGCGTCGTAAAGGATATTGGTTGTCAATTCAAGAACCAGAAAAAAGAGCCTTTTTGATTTTTGTCTTTCAAAGTTTTAGAAGTATGTATAGCTTTTTTATTTTTAAATTCTGTTAATTGAAAAAAGAGCGAATATAAAAATAACTTGCCTATATCAAATTGAGCTACTCCGCCAGTAGTACCAGTAGTGTGTACCCTTCAGTTGGGCTGTTTTATGGCGAGACGGCTTTCCACACTGCGTCATTCTGCAGATGTTTAACGCGCCAACGACTGACGACCGCCGCGCCGGCTGCCATTGCAGCCACGCACTGCCAACGGCCCCATTACATTTGGACTACATTGGAATTTACTTAAATAGGTGAATAAATAAAATAAACATACCTTTAATCTCTTAACTGTATTTGTACAGAATCGATGAGACATTGAAGAGTACCTGTAAAAATTTTTTCGTTCACGTAATATTACTGATTTTCTAAAAGTTATTGGAAATCAATAAGACGTCATCGAAAGTCACATCATACGTCGTTTTCACGAAGTGGCAAAGGGGTGGAGACGGTATTGGCAAGGCCGTCTGTCGTGTCGGCTGCTGCCAGTAGTACTAGTGGGTACGGCCGCTATCGCATAACTAAGCGTTGGTTAATTGGTTAGTCTCGCGCGGACAGCGGTCAGAGGTGGACGTGTTGCGATGTTGGCGCCGCACACTTGCGACGGTGACGTGTGTGCCAGTGCCGCGGGTGGCTAATGCGTGCGGCGGTGAAGGGCATGGGGCAATGCTGCGGTCGGTGGGAACCCGTAGTACGGTACCTCACACTCTTTCAATATTCGATTCCTGCCATCGCAAAATCCGGCTTATCGGCGGCGGGCCGGTCGCCTTCCTTGGAGGACTAGTCGCGTAAGTCTTAATACTGTTATAGCATATTTCACCTGTGAAATATAACACAACAAACGTCGAAGTGGTCGCGTCAGGTGATAACGGAGTCCGTGAGTGCGCACGGTGCGGGCCGACAAACCGAACGGTGCCGCAATTTCGCTAACGGTAAATGCAAGAATAACCGCTCTTGTACTACGAAATGATTGTGGCAAGCGGCGCACTGGTGCACGACGAAGTGCGTTGTGCCATTGCTCTACTTCATCTCTTTACTCTATGACTTACGGCGTATTAATTTGTGCCACACTGCAATGGGAATTGTTGTACTGCACTGTACCCCTGTATGGTGCCATTGGCAATGTCACTCGCCAAAATCCTCTCCTGATTGTACCCCAATCGATGACCTGGGCTCTGAACTATGTGGGCCGTGCTTGATCGCAAATTGTTACTTGTCACAAACCCTAAGGGCCTGATAATGCTTTTGAAAGTAGTTGCAGGATATGACACTACTTAAATAAAGTTTACGTGAGTGCGGAGAGGCTGAGGAAGATACTCATAATGTCCATACACATCTACAATAAACAAGATGGAGAGAGATGCGTTGCTTACCTTTGTGATTTTTTGTAAAACGTGTAAAAAGTTCTTTTCATCTTGAAATAGATAAGGTGTTCCTTTTATTCAAGGCTTCTTATACAAAAAATTAAATAAAAACAGATCAATGTCCTTATTGTCAAAAATGTATAGGAAACTATTATGCGGCTGCAGCACTCCTGGCGAGGCAGCTCGGCGGTAATGCTGTCCAGAGCATTTCATGTCTAAACCCTGTTACTTGGTTGTGGATAAAAGTAGAAAGATGAAACATTGAACATCAATAGACATACCATAAGTCGTCGTATCGCAAAATATTATTTAAATACACCTAGTCATTTACCTCATTGAATTCTTCACAATTTTACACAACCATCGCAATGTAAAAAAAGTTTTGTGAGGTAGAGAAGGGCTCCGACCAATTTGGTTATCAACAACGTACTGGCACATTTACTACGGTGTAGTTTCAGATGTTGTATAGATGCGTATTTAATTCTCGCCCAGAAGAAGGACCCACGCAGGGTCTGAAACTGGTCGGTGCCGTCACCGAAAAAAGTATGACGTGAGTATGCCAATAAATAATTAATTGTTCATTCTGTTTGTAATCTGTAATACGTGTAAGGAACATTTATGTGTTGTTGTATAAGATATCGTTTAGTACTAAATGTTTCCATAATTCCCTTGGTTATGTTTGAGTACCACGAATTCTCAAATGACGTCTAATCAGAGTAGAGGTTTGTTAGCTATCTAACAAAAACAAATGACATCTCATAAAAATATCAATTGTAAAAAAATACCGACTCTTACTCTCACTTCGCCTACCAATGTGTGTTAGATGTCATGTAACTAGTCATTTTAGTTAGTGTCTATTATGAATCTTCGAATTATAATACGGCCTTCTTAATTTTTGCTTAGATTTATATACGAGTAGAAATGGATTTAATAGCACTGCCGGCAGTGCCCCTGCACACCCTTGCCATTGCTGATGTTTATGGGCGTCGGATAAATTCATATTACGCGATCCGCGGCCTTTTGCTCCTTTTTTCCAAGCGAGTAGTTTCTAAATGATACTTTTTTTTTCAAAATTACTCACAGGTTTCGTAATAGACACGAACTAAAATGACCTAACACGTTTCTATAGGGGAAGGAAGCTATGGGATACTTGACTGATTTTATTTTAGTACACAGATGTTGTTACTATTTATAAATATTTGTTATTTTGTAACAATTTGTAATAAATCAATTTATTTGTTATTGTCAAGTTCGCCATTTTAATTTGTGTAAGTATGAGAATTGTATAAGCCAAATACAATTTGGGCTTCGTATTTGTTTAGGCACAACTGATGCAATAAGTTGATTAGTAAAGAGACACGACGATAGACACAGTCGCCATGAGCTCTAGTTGCTGGCACTGGAACGAGGACGAAGGTATAAAATACAAACATCATACAAATTTTGCTAATTGTTGCAAAAGTTGATGCTTCTTTTTTATATTTATTTCCGTTCTGGAAGTCCACTTTGCACAGCGATCTTCGCTTCGTTCAGCGTGCCCTTGTCTCATATAGTCTGAAGTTGTATAAACTTGTTACAATTTATAGTTCACCAATAAATCTTTTTCAATATAAGATAGTCATGAAGCAATCTTTTAAGAAGTGTATCACCACACTGCTTTCGGTATAAGTATTTTATTTATTAAGATGACATTGCGCAAGCTTACGAATAATGAAGTATCACTAGACATGATGTGTAAAAATTTTGCGCTGGGAGCTGGACTAGTCTTATACTTGTACATACGAGTATGTGTTGTATGTTTAAGCTAAAATGTGTTTAAATTTCTAAGTTTTTTATGGTAAGGCTAAGTAAAACACAAAAAATAAATGTTATAATTCTCCATTGTAACTTATTTATAGTACAATTTGGTGTGCCTAGTGAAATAAATAACAATTTGGATAAGCGTATTTGCTGATATCCTCATTAGTTGTAGAAAACCGCGATTACTTCAAACGCGAATTTTAAAACCGCGGCTAAATAAAGCGTGAATGAGGAAACTATTGTAATAAATAAAAAAATTTAATAAAAAAAAATGGTAAACAAAACTGGCTTACTTAAGAATGGCTTTCTGACACATTTTATATAACACTAGTAACTTTAATTTTTATGATTATCATTTGAAAACTGATTAGAGTGTTATAGATCTAGGGCAGTTCTTTGAATCGTGGCATAGCTCGCTTTAACATCTTTATATTTTATTACGGATTATACGGACACCTTTATTACGGATAGGTCGGCTTGCCCGATCCAATGCCATAATCATGCAGAAGACAGACGTGAAGTGAAAAATTTAGCGTTTCGTTTGATGAATGTGCGTACCGGAGGCCTAGTTTTACTGATTTTCCCTGCTCTTCCCATATCCCCTTCTGTTTGTTATAGATCGTTCGTGTTTGCCACATATGGTGGAGAACATAATATGAATTTCGCGGCTTGGGTTAATGAGGGTAACCAGGCTGATTTTTATTTCTCCAGCACGGCCGGGTAACTTACCTCTCTGATGGTGAAAGAATTTTTAAAATCGGTCCAATGGTTTTTGAGTTATTTCAATACATACAAGAATACAAAAATACAAAGTTTTCCTCTTTATAATATAAGTATAGAGTATAGATTAGACACTTGTTGGTAACCATTCTTATTGAAACTAGAAAAAGTACGTTCACAGATAATAGAACAGGAATAAATAAACAAATAAATATTGTTTATGAACCTTAGTCCATTTTACTTTGTGCTGGCATCATGGAGGTAATAATGTAACATGAGTGTGTTCTATCTGTACCTTTTGCAGTTAAAATAAAGAAAGTAAAACCTTCTGCTTAGGGCGTAAGAGTCTTGTTGTACGCAAAATGAAATTAAAAAGAGTGAGAGGGCTACATGTGTCTACTATTTCTCTTTCTAACAATGACTTAGAGTTGCCAGATATCAATGTTTTCGCTGTGTGTAGGAAAATAAGCAATTGATGTAATGTAATGCATTAAAAATGTTTCTAGATGTTAACAATATTTTATGACTGACATGTTAAAGCAATTTAATTTGTTGTTACATGTAAAACTTTATTAACGCAGAAAATTTGCGATTGGCGTACAGGTTTTCTTTTATTTGTTTGAAATTTGAACACCTGAACTGACAACACCACATAATATCGTCGCATCGGACTTCAATGGCGGCGTTTTTAATATACGTGATATTTTTAGAATTTCCTTGTTAAAATGGTGAGAACTTGCGTCATGGAGGCTTGTCGAAATGAGTATTATCCTGACTGTGGTTTATCTTTTCATAGGTAATAGTTTTAAACATAATTTGTTAGTGATGAATTACGGTGACCATGCATGACTATCCAATTCTAGAAATCCTGAGAATGATTGAGAGAATCATTAATCTAATTTTACTCGATTATCGATTCCAAAATTTCAAATATTAATTTTTATTAATATTAATTAAGTAGTATATAACGCGTGTGTGAAAAGCAAGCAAAAACGGGAAATGTATAGTGCCGCATAGAGGAAGTTTATCATTAGCACCTTTGTTTAAAATCCATCTGAAGCAAAGATGTGCTGACGTCAGGTCATGAATATTTTTTTTATAATTACTGTCCTAAAATCATATTTCAATATGGTCACCATGGTCAGAGATGGAAAAATGGTACAGGTATTGAGGTCTCGCACGCCTTCAATTTTTCGACAAGAGCTCTATCCTGTTCTAGTAATGCATCCATGGCTGGCATTCACTCATACTGTTAGTGACAACATCACTCACCTCTATAGAGATACGTAACGTAGGTATCTATAATTAAACATTATGTCCATTTCACGCGTGGCACGCATATTATATCTAGCTAAGGATTTAGCTTGTAAGTTGATTTTTGTCCGATATACTTCCCAGCTCATGAGACTTGTTTTTTACAAGTATTGACTGATACTTGTTCGAGTGAAGTAAATACGCCCCACGGCCGCCGCCCCTCCCCCCGTCCCCCACC